TGTGGAGAAATTGCTATACCTTTGTTGTAGAATTCACAATCGTACGCTGCACGGAAACAAAGAGACTCTTGTTAATAATAGGATGAGTACTACTACTATCAATATTGATATAAATACTATGAAAGTAGTACTGAAAGGTACTTTATAAGCACGAAAAGTAGATATTAATTTTTATTAGAGCCTAACCAGTATAGGATTTTAAGATCAATATCAATATATGGTCATTTAAAATGCCCCACAACATAGTTTAAACTTGCATCAAGTTCTTCCCTTTTATAGTTTCCATCTTGACATTTACATAAATTATCTAATTTTACTGTTGAGAAGAATTTATATATAATTAATTATGACAACTATTAATAATAATTTGCTTTTCAACAACCGCTTTTCAACTGATAGCAGTTTAACTGATAACGATGTAACTACAATTAGAACATCTTTTTTTTTTTTAGTTTTTATGTTTTTTTTCCAGATAAGCTCAGTTATTCCTCTGTAATTAATGTCTACATACAATGTAGACATTGTATGTTTAATACAATGTCTACATTAAAATGTTCAAAAAGGAATGCTTTAACAAATAAAATCTGCGAACGTTAGCAAGAAACACTAGATGGGAATTTTACTCCCTGTGGTCTGACTGACTCACGGCATAGAGAAGGAGAACGCCAGTCCACAGGTACACCCTGGTGGCAGCAACGCTGGGCGTACGCCGCCACACTGGTGCAGAAACACTCGCAGTCGCCTCCTCGGCTGCAGGCACATGTGTCTGCTAGACAGTTCATGTAAAACCAGGTGACATCCACCTAAGGGCAAATATAAGAAATAATTTTTTTACAAATTTATTACAAATAGATGAATTAATAGCAAGTAGAATTTTACCCCTTAATTAAAAAATAAAAAGTCTGTAGTACTTGTAAAAAGCCCAGGGTAGAGACGTTTTGTTACTCACCACTGGGTGGCAGGCTTGGAAGATCTCACTGAGCAGAACAGCACATTGTCGTTTTGCAAAAGGTTCTCTGAGTGGACTGAGAGTGCAGGGATGTCTGATATCTGGACTGTTTACACACTAAAGACGCACACATACACAGGGAGATAAAAAGAAACATTTATGTCAAATGAGAAAGCTCAATTTCACTATAAATGAATCACTATTTCAGTTTTCAAATAAACTGAAGTTGTGATGAATAGGCTTGCAAGTTATTGTCCAAGTGAAATGTTAATTTCACAGTTAATTGCCTTCATTAGATCATCAGAGCATGATGAACATACAGGTGATGTTTTGCTCACCTCTGTTGCAGTCCAGCTGTTTCCAAACTCCTGTGGTGTTGGGGAGTCGATGTTGTCAGGCGTTCGCATCTCATTCACTGTCTTCAAGTCAAAGTTCCCACACAATCCGCTCAGCTTCCCCTGAACACATCACATCGCCTCTTTTTAGCCTGTTAGCTCATATGTTGTTAATACCGTCATGATGTTACATTTTACTTTATATCATAGCCTCTTAAAATTTGTGACTGACAGTAACACAGAACTGCCTGTTGGATGCTGCTCTGAGAATGGTGTGTTCAACAGTCTGAATGAAAAAAAATCTGTTAAGTTCTTCAGTGCTTCGGAGATGATTCGCTGTATGTTCCTTTGTGAAAGGAAAGGACGTGCCACGATTCATAGCAACATACCGTCCGACCTTTCACAAAAATAATCAGCTAAACTACAAGTGATTCCCATCATGGCTGCAGATAACTCAGAGGTCACTCAGCTCAATTAGGAACCAGAAAAATCCTAAAATATCAAACTGGTATAACATCAGTTTATTAGGTATCATTTGTGGAGTCACCTTATATTGAAGATCAGCTGAAGATCTGCAAAAAACAAAACACTGAACCAGCATCTTACCTGCCAGCGAGGTCCAACCTGGACATGCACTGTAGTCTTTCGGTCCCAGAGGACTGTGACGTCTTCCTCTGGGAAATGAATCGCTGTGAAGTACCCAGCTGGCCAGATGAACATTATCTGCTTCCTGTCAATCACACTGGAATGATTCTGCATAAACGAGTGACTGTAGTTAGATGGCAGCTATCCACTGAAAAATCCTTAAATCTTATTCAGAAGAAACAAAGATGACACACAAAGACACTGTGCAGCACATCACTCTGCGCTAGCAGTAGAAATTGCTTTAAAAGTGACTCTTACTGGCTTCCCAGTGTCATCATCAAAAGCAACAAAGGATCTTCCAACATTGATCAGCAGGGACTTCCTGCAGATGATTCCACTGTCAAAACAGTCGATGTTCTCAGCTGTGACACTGAGCATTATATCAGCACTGCTCTGTGGAGGTGAGAAAACACAGCTGCTGTAACAGTAAATGTCTTTATAGCTTAGAAATCTCAGTGTAACAATAGGCTTAGTGTTTATTATTACAGAGTAAAGCAGGTTTGTGTGTGTGTGCGTGTGTGTGTGCGTGCGTGCGTGCGCGTGTGCGTGTGTGTGTGTGTGTGTGTGTGTGCATGTGCATGTGCGTGTGCGCATGTGTGCATGTGTGCGTGTGTGCGTGTGTGCGTGTGTGTGCGTGTGTAAGGGGGGGGTCCACTGTTATGGACCAAAAAATATATCACATGCTCATGTAATGGCTATAATAATCTTTTTCTCACATACCTTTACAAGATAAACTTTACATGCTCCAACGTAGTCGAATAACAGCCCATCAAACGTCCTGTAGTGGCGATCACCGTAAGCCGTGCACAACGATGGACACGGCTGAAATACACACTGGAACGTCCCATGCTGGCAAACACTACAAAGACAGCAATGCCTCAGTGATTCGGCATCAACTTGTTCCCACTTAGTTAGAGGACATTTTTTTCACATCTAATGGCCTCCTTTTGTTGAGAGCCTCAGGTTTACAGAAGGCAGAAAAGTGACCGGTGAATTGTCAAAGGCTGAACTGCAGCTCATTGCACTATTAGGCTGTCATCTACATCTTCTTCCCTGGCTGAGGCTTGAAGAAGAAATGGAAGGATGGGAGAATGACTGAGATCACTGGGAGAGTGTTTCCTTTCACTAGCGATGAACAGTCTGAAGCAGAGAATCAAAGAGTCATACAAGGGCCCGCTCTGTTTTCAAGGCCTTTTTCTGTGCTGTGATAGCAGAGAATTATAGATATCAGGTGGCCACTTTCGATGCTCTGACAACCTCGGGATTCTGAGCTTTCAGGCTAAATCTGACTTTGAAAAATTGGCGATGGTACTAGAAATTGTTTGCTTGATGATCATATTAATTTGACAGCTATTGTTGGCGAGGCCAAGACCAAATTTGTAAAGCGTGACAAAATGAATGATTGCCTATAGAGAGAAGGGAAATATGATATGTGAAGATATGTAACATGAAAGGAAGATTTTCAATTTTAATGAACAAAATTTTCTAAAAACACTGAATCTGTGGAAACATACCACTGGTAGCAGGGCGAAGAGACTCTGTCGCCAGGGTAATACTCTTTTCCTTTCCACAGACAGGGGCATGCAGCGGGCTCAAAGCACTCATCTCCATGTTTCAGCAGCCTGTGGGAAACACCCAACTGTTAAAGGAAAAACACTTTTAAAGCACTGAGTTTATGTAGAATTGAGACCAATGAATTCTGTATGCTGGGGCTGAAAAGTAAAGCCAGTGTTAAAGTGCCTTAAATCAGCATGTTTTTTTCTAATAGCCAGCAGGGATCAAAAAGACTTGGTTGTCAAGCACTCTACTCATCTCTCTGCACACATATCTTTATGTTATAAACATATTCATTAGAGTCAACAAGGAGACTAAATGTGGGTATGCTTCATTGTGTGATTAACAAGTCATTCTTAGTCGCACCTGCCCCTTGCTAAGCTTATTCTTTTTCAAAACACCAAGACAGAGTATAAAGATGTTAAGATTTTACAACAAGACTAGTGTGAATCTATATCCTTTTTAATACAAAGTCTCGATAAAAAACAGGAGCACATGACATCTTGAAAGCATCTTGAATTACTGTGGTGCAGTGCTTTGGACTTGCCTTCATCACCACTGCCATTGAAAATGTATCTGACATGTTTAAATGTGAAGCAGTTTATTTAAATGTAAAACCATCTTTCCAACAGCTTAAAATTTGCTAAAACTGAGTCATAACACAGGATAATGATCACAAACACAGCATCAAATCTACAACAGAATGGCTGAAAAAGAGTCAAAATCATAAATGTACATAAATGAATACCTGCAAAGCCCAATAAACTGAAGTGATATTTGTTTTGTTTTTTAAGTGGTTTGCCAGAGGTTTCCTGATGGTTATCACAAGCATCTGATCGAGGTGGAACTTCCTAAAGGACGTTTAGTGAAATATTAGTGGGGGCATGTGTATACAGCGGGGAAAATAAGTATTTGACACATCAGCATTTTTATCAGTAAGGGGATTTCTAAGTGGACTATTGACACAACATTTCCACCAGATGTTGCCATCAAGCCAAATATTGAAGTCATACAAACAAATCAGAACATTTAAGTACACAAGTTGAATCATATTAAATAAAGTGCAATGACACAGGGAATAAGTATTGAACACACTTTATTTAATACTTTGTAGAAAAGCCTTTGTTGGTGATTACAGCTTCTAGACGCCTCCTGTATGGATAGACCAGTCGTCTGCATTGCTCAGGAGTGATTCTGGCCCATTCTTCCACACAAACGGTCTTTAAATCTTGAAGGTTCCTTGGGCCTCTTCTATGAACTTTAATCTTCAGTTCTCTCCATAGATTTTCTATGGGATTTAGGTCAGGTGATTGACTGGGCCATTCAAGCAACTTGATTTTCTTTCTTTGAAACCACTTCATTGTTTCCTTGGCCTTGTGTTTGGGATCATTGTCTTGCTGAAATGTCCACCCTCTTTTCATTTTTAGCTTCCTGGTAGATGGCAGCAGATTTGTATCCAGAATGTCCCGGTACATCTCTCCATTCATCCTGCCTTCAATAATATGAAGTCTGCCAGTACCCCTTGCTGAAAAGCAGCCCCAAACCATGATGCTACCACCCCCAAACTTAACTGTTGGTATGGTGTTCTTGGGGTGGTGAGCAGTGCCATTTCTTCTCCAAACATGGTGTGTGGAATGGCTGCCAAAAAGTTCAATTTTGCTTTCATCTGACCATACTATAGTCTCCCAATGATCCACAGGCTTCTCCAAATGCTGTTGCGCAAATTTTAACCGAGCCTTGACATGCTTTTTGTTCAGCAATGGAGTCTTGCGTGGTGAGCGTGCATGGATGCCATGGCGGTTCAGTGCATTGCTTATAGTTTTCTTTGAAACAACAGTACCTGCTGATGCAAGGTCTTCCTGAAGTTCTGTCCGAGTGGTTCTTGGCTCTTGGAGAACTCTCCTGATTATTCTTTGGACTCCTCGGACAGGGATCTTGCGTGGAGCACCTGATCGTGGCAGGTTTATGGTGAACTGATGCTCTTTCCATTTCCGGATAATGGCCCCCACAGTGCTCACAGGAACATTCAGCATTCTGGAAATGCACCTATAACCATTCCCATCACAATGCTTTTCAACGATAAGATTACGAAGATCTTGAGAGAGTTCTTTGCTTTTACCCATCATGAAGTCTTTCCTGTGTGCCTTCTGGGTAATGAGGAGCCTTTATAGGCCATCAATTAGGACTAAAGCAGCTGATATCAATTAGTACTGATAGGGGACAGGATTTCTCTATCAATACTGACAGATTTCAGGTGATCTCCTGGCTTTCTATGTCATTTTGCCCCCTGTTATCTTCATGTATTCAATACTTATTCCCTGTGTCATTTCACTTTATTTATTATGGTTTAACTTGTATACTTCAATGTTCTGATTTGTTTGTATGATTTCAATATTTGGCTTGATGGCAACATCTGGTGGAAATGTTGTGTCAATAGTCCACTTAGAAATCCCCTTACTGATAAAAATGCTGATGTGTCAAATACTTATTTTCCCCGCTGTATATCTGATCTTTTATGTATACTTTTGACCCTGTGTGGATTAGAGAAATTTCCAAAGTAAATTCAAACTTCTGTACCCAGGTCTTGCTTTTTAAAGATGTATGCTGTGATGTATTGTGCCATGAAAATCAAACAGATAATCATTAGAAGTCTAAAATTACCTTGATATTTACGGATAGGAATCGAGAACCAGTTCTTGTAGGAAACTGGTTCCCAGTACTGCAATTATTCGTGTCAGAGGCAGTCTAGAGCATGGATATGGAAATTTATTCTTATTGCACAAAATGATGAGATAAATGTTAATGTGGAAAACTGCATCCAAGACAGAAACAACCGCATTGTGCTGCTAACACAACTTTGGTTCTTTGCAAGCTTAGTCTAGCTTAGTCTTGGCAGGTGCTTGCCAAGACTAAGCTGGGTTTAAGAACCCAGAGTGGAAGCTGAGTGAATACCAAACTGAGTATGCAGACCCTTAACTTCAACAGGTAACAAGCAGATGAGGAGTGAGGCTGCAGCCTCCCTTTCTACCTGTTCATCTTTCTAAAGTAGAATCATTGTGGCGATCGCTCACTTGTGCTGTTTTTTTTTTTTTTTTGCTTTGTGCGGTCAGCGTTGTATTCTACTATGAGAAAGATTTTAGACATGTGTGCCCTCATTAAGGATTTGTGTTGGTGTGTGGGGTTGTAGCCTCAGGTTTATGTTGCTAAATGGTGATTATGAGGCAGTTTCTGTCAGCTATTTACATGTTTACAGAGTAACATGAAAGTACAAACCAACAATCACCACTTGAGGAACTTAACCAATGTAAGACTATGCATTTTTAAATCCCATTAACATGATTTTATGTTCATTTTAAGTTGACGGACAAATAATTGTCCAATAATTACACCAAAAACAGTATCTATAACAGCCTACACATATCCGTTTACTTACTAACTTTCCCTGACCCTAACCAAACACCCACTGCCAGCCAGACGTTAATTAAAAATCAAAGACCGTTTACCGTTTACTACCAAATGAACATGATGCACAAGCAGCTCTGCCCCTACCAGAGAGTATGATTTAATTTGTAAAGCACTCATTGAGGAGGGTTATCACTCCTGAAATCTAAATAGGCAAATCATTTCCAAATGATCATGTTGAATTTAATTTAAAACATCCCTGTATCCGTACAAAATTAACAAGTTTTTACATCTCTATGTGTGGAGTGAAGCTGTGGAATAGACTAAGTGAAGAACTGAAGCAATCAGCATGACTCAGTTCAAAAATATGTTTTTTGCAAAGTACAGGGAGGAGGTAGGGTTTTGATCGGGTAGACACCCACTATTTTCACACTGGGGATGTGTATATGTGTGTGTGGGTGCAACTTATATTTATATTTAAGTTATTTATAATTATTATTGCTTTGTTTTCCTTTTGTTTTGTTTGCTTGTCTCTTTTTCTCTGTTGTTGTTGTTATACTATTTAAACATGTTCAAAATAAAGATTCAATTCAATTCAAAATTCTGCATCTAAATAATCCAATCTCTCTGAAAGCAGTGTTTTTTAACTATTGGAGAACAGTGACCTAAAGGCATGCTATCAAGTTATAGTGTTGTCATTTTGCCAAGAGAATAACAGAGGTAGAGCCAAAGCAGGTCTGCTTCCAGAGCAGAGAGATGCCAGGAACCCAGAACAAATTTCAGGGGTGGGCGACTGTGGACTGTAACGCTCATGTTAGCTACATGAGAAAACCAGACAATTAGGATTCTCAGAGATAGAGAAAGAAACAGTCTTTGTCTGCAACCATCCATTTGCTTTCGTCTCTGCAAGACGAAGCTGATAAGTATCTTGTAATATCCATGGTTGAGCTATATCCACTGGCGAGGCTGCCGTGACATACTGAATAGTCTCGCCACAAACCTCAGGTTCATCTGAGTAGAGTTACACCACAGATAAAACGGTGCTAACAGCTTCCTTTATCTGGCAGCCAAACTGCTGTATCAATTTCTCTGATCAAAGATATGAAAATCATTTATTGTTCTGACCTATGAGCACATTATGAATAAATTCTCATAAACACAGCCCTCATTTTGAATTTCATTCTTTCGCGTGATGTAAAGTGGACTGAGGAATAAGTAGTTGAAAAACATGATGACAGATGAGTCAAACAGCGCAATGGCTCGACTGCAGTCTGCCTTGCATTGAGTGTACTCCCAAGTGTTGCACACCAAGTAGAGACAATAAGCTGAAAATTATCCCTGACGGTATGCAGCCTATGGCCTAGATTATTAATGACGTTTGCAATCGTAAATTACATTCACAAGATTAGCAGGTGAATTGATCCGTTTATTTGGGGCAGAAAATAATTTAAAGAAAGACTGATGTTTTTCTTTTCTACTCTCCCGGAGTACTCAAAACGCTGTATACAACATGCCTCATTCACCCATTCATACAAGCACTTCTAAACACAAGTGCAAACTAAAGTACATTCACACACAGTCATACTCCGATGAACGCATCGGAGGGCAACTTGGAGTTAGTATCTTGCCCAAGGATATTTGGCATGCAGACTGGAGAAGCCAAGGA